TGTAATTTACTACTTCGGAGTGTAATGTTTCTGTACGACTTTAAAAAACTTAATTTTTCTTTAATAATTCAGTTTTTCCCTTTAAAAGAGTTTTAACTGCGGGGATACTTTAGTAATTTTTATAATAATAAATTCGCACAACTATATGTAAATATGTCTTAAAAATTGTGTGCTATGTATTAATAGATATGTAAGAACGTATTTGCATATACCTATGCAAATTATTAAGTTATACTCGGGCTGCTAAAATAAGCTATATTCGACGTAAAACCGCTGTTTTTATATGTGTAAAAAGCTGAAAACGTTTATATTGGAATGATTTTTTTCTGTAAGTGCATAATACACGCCGCCCTGGATCTGTCACTGCCAGAAATTCCACATAAATATCCTGCTGGGATTTCTCGGAGTTTTCGTCCTCACATCCAGCGTGGGATTTAATTACCAAAATGGCCTATTTTGACCCGAAACCAATTTTACCAATTTTGAAACAATTTTTTGTTGAGAAAAAATGTCCATTGCGGGATTCTATCCCAGATCGTGGCTGTTCGAAGGTTTATACCATTGACTGTTCGAAGGTTTATACCATTGACTGTTCGAAGGTTTATACCATTGACTGTTCGAAGGTTTATACCATTGACTGTTCGAAGGTTTATACCATTGACTGTTCGAAGGTTTATACCATTGACTGTTCGAAGGTTTATACCATTGACTGTTCGAAGGTTTATACCATTGACTGTTCGAAGGTCTATGCCATTGACTGTTCGAAGGTTTATACCATTGACTGTTCGAAGGTTTATACCATTGACTGTTCGAAGGTTTATACCATTGACTGTTCGAAGGTTTATACCATTGACTGTTCGAAGGTTTATACCATTGACTGTTCGAAGGTTTATACCATTGACTGTTCGAAGGTTTATACCATTGACTGTTCGAAGGTTTATACCATTGACTGTTCGAAGGTTTATACCATTGACTGTTCGAAGGTTTATACCATTGACTGTTCGAAGGTTTATACCATTGACTGTTCGAAGGTTTATACCATTGACTGTTCGAAGGTTTATACCATTGACTGTTCGAAGGTTTATACCATTGACTGTTCGAAGGTTTATACCATTGACTGTTCGAAGGTTTATACCATTGACTGTTCGAAGGTTTATACCATTGACTGTTCGAAGGTTTATACCATTGACTGTTCGAAGGTTTATACCATTGACTGTTCGAAGGTTTATACCATTGACTGTTCGAAGGTTTATACCATTGACTGTTCGAAGGTCTATGCCATTGACTGTTCGAAGGTTTATACCATTGACTGTTCGAAGGTTTATACCATTGACTGTTCGAAGGTTTATACCATTGACTGTTCGAAGGTTTATACCATTGACTGTTCGAAGGTTTATACCATTGACTGTTCGAAGGTTTATACCATTGACTGTTCGAAGGTTTATACCATTGACTGTTCGAAGGTTTATACCATTGACTGTTCGAAGGTTTATACCATTGACTGTTCGAAGGTTTATACCATTGACTGTTCGAAGGTCTATGCCATTGACTGTTCGAAGGTTTATACCATTGACTGTTCGAAGGTTTATGCCATTGACTGTTCGAAGGTTTATACCATTGACTGTTCGAAGGTTTATACCATTGACTGTTCGAAGGTTTATACCATTGACTGTTCGAAGGTCTATGCCATTGACTGTTCGAAGGTTTATACCATTGACTGTTCGAAGGTTTATGCCATTGACTGTTCGAAGGTTTATACCATTGACTGTTCGAAGGTTTATACCATTGACTGTTCGAAGGTTTATACCATTGACTGTTCGAAGGTCTATGCCATTGACTGTTCGAAGGTTTATACCATTGACTGTTCGAAGGTTTATACCATTGACTGTTCGAAGGTCTATGCCATTGACTGTTCGAAGGTCTATACCATTGACTGTTCGAAGGTTTATACCATTGACTGTTCGAAGGTTTATACCATTGACTGTTCGAAGGTTTATACCATTGACTGTTCGAAGGTTTATACCATTGACTGTTCGAAGGTTTATACCATTGACTGTTCGAAGGTTTATACCATTGACTGTTCGAAGGTCTATGCCATTGACTGTTCGAAGGTTTATACCATTGACTGTTCGAAGGTCTATGCCATTAACTGTTCGAAGGTATATACCATTGACTGTTCGAAGGTTTATACCATTGACTGTTCGAAGGTTTATACCATTGACTGTTCGAAGGTTTATACCATTGACTGTTCGAAGGTCTATGCCATTGACTGTTCGAAGGTTTATACCATTGACTGTTCGAAGGTTTATGCCATTGACTGTTCGAAGGTTTATACCATTGACTGTTCGAAGGTCTATGCCATTGACTGTTCGAAGGTTTATACCATTGACTGTTCGAAGGTTTATACCATTGACTGTTCGAAGGTTTATACCATTGACTGTTCGAAGGTTTATACCATTGACTGTTCGAAGGTTTATACCATTGACTGTTCGAAGGTTTATACCATTGACTGTTCGAAGGTTTATACCATTGACTGTTCGAAGGTTTATACCATTGACTGTTCGAAGGTTTATACCATTGACTGTTCGAAGGTTTATACCATTGACTGTTCGAAGGTCTATGCCATTGACTGTTCGAAGGTTTATACCATTGACTGTTCGAAGGTTTATACCATTGACTGTTCGAAGGTTTATACCATTGACTGTTCGAAGGTCTATGCCATTGACTGTTCGAAGGTCTATGCCATTGACTGTTCGAAGGTTTATACCATTGACTGTTCGAAGGTTTATACCATTGACTGTTCGAAGGTTTATACCATTGACTGTTCGAAGGTCTATGCCATTGACTGTTCGAAGGTTTATACCATTGACTGTTCGAAGGTTTATGCCATTGACTGTTCGAAGGTTTATACCATTGACTGTTCGAAGGTCTATGCCATTGACTGTTCGAAGGTTTATACCATTGACTGTTCGAAGGTTTATACCATTGACTGTTCGAAGGTTTATACCATTGACTGTTCGAAGGTCTATGCCATTGACTGTTCGAAGGTTTATACCATTGACTGTTCGAAGGTCTATGCCATTGACTGTTCGAAGGTTTATACCATTGACTGTTCGAAGGTTTATACCATTGACTGTTCGAAGGTTTATACCATTGACTGTTCGAAGGTCTATGCCATTGACTGTTCGAAGGTTTATACCATTGACTGTTCGAAGGTTTATGCCATTCGTCCACCGACCCCTTTGCTATGTAAATTTATCTCTCTCAACTTTTGTACGTAGATATTCTTTCCCTGTTTTTCTTTACCTATTTGAAATCTCCTTCAACTTTTTTCTTTTTCTCTTTTCTGAGCGAGGATTAAATTTCTTCCCCCCTGCTTCTCATTTCTTTTTAGATTCATTTCTAACAGGAGTCTGTATAAGATGGAATGTCTTAATAAAGGATTGTGTGTCTAAACTCTGTTTTCTCCACGTCTATACAGGTGGTAGAATATATTAATGGACCATCCATAAGGACAAGATGTGGTGACGACCCATGATTTTATTATGAACCAAGACGTGAAATTGTATGGGATTAAAGGTGTCAGTGGAAGATATAGCGGCTTTAAATCCACACATTTCCGTCTTTATTCTTTAAAACTACATTTTTAAAAAGCAGCAGCTTTACACACCCAAGATAGTGGACATTGCTTCTGCTGTGATAGAGATGTATGGAGACATCTGAGGCTCTTCATTGGACACGACAACAACAACAATACAGTATGCACACCCAAGATAGAGAGCGACTGCTGTGATAGAGACGTACGGAGACATCTGAGGCTCTTCATTGGACACGACAGCAAAAATACAGTTTTAAATCCGTTTTCTGCAAGATAGAATGTTCTTTTCTTCAGATATATCTTGTTCACAATGTATTGAAACACTGTGGTTTTCTACATTATATCTTCTTACTATAGTACACTTGTAGGAGCAAAAAAACGAACTGTTCTCTATAATATGTAGACATGTAGTGTACTTGCAAAAAAAAAGCAATTGCAACAACCCCCCCCCCCCTCCCCCCTCGTGACTATCATGGCATGTACCACGTGTACTTTGAATAATTATAGACGCGTATGATTCTTTTTAAAACTAAACAATTTCTACTGTCCTTACTGCAATAGAAAAATTAATGGGAGAGCACATGACTCCATTACAGTAAGGACAGTATAAATTGTTTATTTTTAAAAAGAATCATACACGTCTATAATAATTTCGAATTTTGATAACAGATGGCGAGCTAATGCATCATAATTTTGAATATTGATAATAAAATAATCAAATATTAAGACCTTTGGTTTTATATACGGTAGAGATACTTCTGAGTACTATAGTAAATGGTAAATAGAAAGATAAAATATTGTTGGATCTAATATCACACCCAGGCTTGCTATAGGCTGCATGTGTGACAATTTGACAATTGAAACAAATTGACTTCTTGTCAATAATTTACATTAAAAATGGAAATAATGAATAAACTAATATACAGATGAGGGGGATGTGAGGTGAGCCTTCTTTCCCAAGCGATGAGCGGGTCCTCCGGTCAGCCCAACCTGTACGAAGTACCGGTAGACTGCATGTGTGGTCGGCAGTGTTTCGTGTCAACGTGTGCTCCCAAGTTGCCCTCAGTGAGAAGAACGTGGTACAAAGCGTGTTGAACGTCTGGATGTTGTGACAGAATGTTTATTTCCCTGCGCATGTCAACACGTGTCTATTTCTAGAAGTTGCCGGCTGTCATGCCTACAGCCATGTTGTTGGGGGAGATACTGTTCAAATGTCCCACTGTTGCTTCATATTACATTTCTCTCTCTTTTTATTGAGTTTGAATAATTATCTCGATTTCTTGTCTTGGCGTTAATATTCGACACACGTGACGTTAGACCAAGGAGGAGTTACCGGCGAGATAACCTATGGTGAAGTATGAAAGGATGAATTGTGAAGAGTAATGATAAACGGAAAATAAAGTGTCCAGGGATCGAACCCACAGTGTTCCGCTTACCAGGCAGATGCCATGTCCACTAGGCTACCATGGACGCGAGATGACCTATGGACCATATTAGCTGTGAGGGCATTGAAATGACTAACTTATTTTTTAAAAGAGGCACCTCTACCTTTAAATATGTATTATAAAACTGTGTATTCTGTTTATAACACAAGTACAAAACGTAATGGTGTTGATCGGCCTCGCCATTTCACCAGTTTAAACACCAGTTTAGTAAATTCAACCGAATTCATAACTCTTCTCGTAGGCATGGTATGAAATCGAAGCCGCTACTGTACTGTGAGGGCCATAGAATGAAAACATGGTATACAGCTTGTTGGCTTTTGTCTGAATTTGATGAAAAATTATGTTTTGATTCATTCTTTATCATCATCTTTACGTTTTGTACTGGGGTAATGAATAAAATGGATTTTTAATACATTTTTTAAAAGGGATTGGTGCTCTCTTTTGGTAGATGAATACCATTCTCTCGCACAACTTCACTTTATAAGCATAATAATTATATTAGAATGTTTTATTACTCCTTACCTATACTCTATACTATACTCCTTATATCTTTGTCTTTTGAAAAAAACAATCATCGTTCTTATATTTGTTTATTGTACCGACACTTCGGCGACTTACCACCACCTTCCTCAGGGGAGTGATCCTTTGTTTGGAAATCCGCTCGGTAAAGTTGTATAACCAACAGGAGCAAGGAGGGAATTACAGTTGACCAACCTGGTGTAATAATATTTCAACATTTAAGGAGGGATCTTAGCTATTGAATCACAATATTGGTAGAGAAATCAGTGGGGAAATATGCAACTAAGTTTTGGGATGCCCCGATGGCGTTGCAAAGACAAAACGACGGTTTACAAGATGTTCCACACAATGATAGGCAGGGGAACCGCTCTCTGTTTTCTTGTTTTAAAAGTATAAAACATGATACACGTTGTGTTACCAGGATATTTTTCCAAATTTTGAATAATTCCTGTAAACTTCTTGTCAAATTTTACGATTGATTCCAAGTATCATTAGTGTAATGCATTTACGTGACCTAAACATGTGTTGTTGGTCATTGCAAGATCATAAACTATGTTAATAAAAAAAATGGTTTCAATAGGTCGCGATGTTTGCATAATTCTAACTCCATAAGTGAATGTAGGCCTATTCTAACAACGACAGTATCTTGTGTCACCGGTCGAGCTGCCATCTACATGTGTAGACAAGTAATACCTACAGTTGTCATAGACAGACCCACCTTTGTATTGATGGATAGAAACACTCATGAATCTCATGTGATAGTATTTCACTGACCGGTGACCTACTGTCACCATTGTCAAGGTAGAATGTACGGACCACATGCTGAGTTGATGAGAACTGTCAAAAATTGGGTCGGTGGAAGAGTGGTCTTAACCGTTGGTTTTCGACCGCTACGCCCCGGGATCGAATCCCTCATTGGGCTCTTTTTTCTAATAAAATATAAATGCTCCAATGGCCCCCGATTCTTGTAAAAGTTCAACCTCACTAGCGTGTGCAAGTGACCAAACGGGACTCTTCACGTGTGTAGATATGTGGTGCACTTACAGTAAAAGCAGTCGCCAATTTCTTACCCACCGTGATTATCATGACCTGTACCACGTGTACTAGGGATAATACTAAAAAAAACGAGGGCTGTATTCATCACTATATCAAAACCCAACTAGGATCTTGGCTAGACAATCCGTGCTATCTTGTGGACAGACAGGTGTGGCTGTAGTGAATGTCACCATTCCGACTTGTCTCCAAGCACAGATCGAGATTTTTTCTCTACGTTGTCTTCGCCAAGCCTCACTGTCCGTTTGGCTTATAGTCATCCTAGGCTGTGACGGCTGGCATGCAGACTTCTGGTCATTCGATGTAGCAGGGAGTTGTGTTGTCAGCTTCGACCAAAGAGTTTCAGAATTGCAACTAGGCTTAGAAATTCCTAAGACGTTCGTAGATTATCTGGCCGATCTCACAAAAGCCTGCACCAGTTCTCCCAAGCCGTGGGATATAGCAGGCAAACAAACCAATCATCCATAGATGCCGGAAATAAAGAACTGTGACCAACATTCCTAGCCGACATGCCATAACTACCGTCTGCATTCCTCGGCGATATTACAATGTCTGGAGACGGGATGGTTGGATAACAAGTCACACATGCCGCCGCTCACTTCTTGTTTGGCTTCTCCCCATATATACATATTTACATATATATATGGCATATCCTGACCAAAAGCACATGTGCTTTTTAGATGGCAGAGCACCATCTAGTGGAGCAAAAATAAACTAGACGTTTATTTAACTTGCTCCGTGATATTTGGCCAAACCAATTTCTTGATAAATCAAGAAAAGCCATCCACGAACGCGTTTGGCGCTGTTGACGCTCGTCAGCGTGGAGCAGGCTGTACAACTGGGACCAAAAAAAATATTTTTTTTCTATTATTTATTTTCAGACTATATGTTAAGCTAGGTTAGCTAGGTAAGATAGGTTGAATAAACTCGTTTTTTATTATAGTAGTCGAATGGTTCTTCCCGAGCGAATGTTTTCTCCACAAATATTGTTTGAATAAAAGTTGACTGTTTGATTTATACAACAGGTTTCTGGAGATGGGTTTCCTTTTATTAATGTAATCTCAAGCTTCACTGACTTTCTACAGTAGTACATAAAACGGATAAAAATAAGCGTTTTTTATTTATTCGTTTTATGTACTCCTGTATATAGAAGGGCAGAGAGATGCTCGAAAGCTTGTGATTACATTCATAAAAGTGAAAAGAAACCTGTTGTATGATTTTAATTTATATCCAATTTAAATTTCTTAAATCGAGTATAAAGGTTTATTATTTCATGATGTGTCAGGTGTAGGTCGTGGTGAAGTTCGGGTGATGAAGTCAGGTGCAGTAAGTCGGGGTGAAGTTCGGGTGATGAAGTCAGGTGCAGTAGGTCGGGGTGAAGTTTGGGTGATGAAGTCAGGTGCAGTAAGTCGGGGTGAAGTTCGGGTGATGAAGTCAGGTGCAGTAGGTCGGGGTGAAGTTTGGGTGATGAAGTCAGGTGCAGTAAGTCGGGGTGAAGTTCGGGTGATGAAGTCAGGTGCAGTAGGTCGGGGTGAAGTTCGGGTGATGAAGTCAGGTGCAGTAAGTCGGGGTGAAGTTCGGGTGATGAAGTCAGGTGCAGTAGGTCGGGGTGAAGTTTGGGTGATGAAGTTAGGTGTAGGTCGGGGTGATGAAGTCAGGTGTAGGTCGGGGTGAAGTTCGGGTGATGAAGCCAGGTGTAGTAGGTCGGGGTGATGAAGTCAGGTGTAGTAGGTCGGGGTGATGAAGTCAGATGTAGTAGGTCGGGGTGATGAAGTCAGATGTAGTAGGTCGGGGTGTAGAAGGTCGGGGTGATGAAGTCAGGTGTAGTAGGTCGGGGTGATGAAGTCAGATGTATTAGGTCGGGGTGATGAAGTCAGGTGTAGTAGGTCGGGGTAATGAAGTCAGGTGTAGTAGGTCGGGGTGATGAAGTCAGGTGTAGTAGGTCGGGGTGATGAAGTCGGGTATAGTAGGTCGGGGTGATGAAGTCAGGTGTAGTAGGTCGGGGTGATGAAGTCAGGTGTAGTAGGTCGGGGTGATGAAGTCAGGTGTAGTAGGTCGGGGTAATGAAGTCAGGTGTAGTAGGTCGGGGTGATGAAGTCGGGTATAGTAGGTCGGGGTGATGAAGTCAGGTGTAGTAGGTCGGGGTGATGAAGTCAGGTGTAGTAGGTCGGGGTGATGAAGTCAGGTGTAGTAGGTCGGGGTGATGAAGTCAGGTGTAGTAGGTCGGGGTAATGAAGTCAGGTGTAGTAGGTCGGGGTGATGAAGTCAGATGTAGTAGGTCGGGGTGATGAAGTCAGGTGTAGTAGGTCGGGGTGATGAAGTCAGATGTAGTAGGTCGGGGTGATGAAGTCAGGTGTAGTAGGTCGGGGTAATGAAGTCAGGTGTAGTAGGTCGGGGTGATGAAGTCGAGTGTAGTAGGTCGGGGTGATGAAGTCAGGTATAGTAGGTCGGGGTAATGAAGTCAGGTGTAGTAGGTCGGGGTGATGAAGTCGAGTGTAGTAGGTCGGGGTGATGAAGTCGAGTGTAGTAGGTCGGGGTGATGAAGTCAGGTGTAGGTCGGGGTGAAGTTCGGGTGATGAAGCCAGGTGTAGTAGGTCGGGGTAATGAAGTCGAGTGTAGTACGTCGGGGTGATGAAGTCGAGTGTAGTAGGTCGGGGTGATGAAGTCAGGTATAGTAGGTCGGGGTGATGAAGTCAGGTATAGTAGTTCGGGGTGATGAAGTCGAGTGTAGTAGGTCGGGGTGATGAAGTCAGATGTAGTAGGTCGGGGTGATGAAGTCAGATGTAGTAGGTCGGGGTGATGAAGTCAGGTGTAGTAGGTCGGGGTGATGAAGTCGAGTGTAGTAGGTCGGGGTGATGAAGTCAGGTGTAGTAGGTCGGGGGGATGAAGTCAGGTGTAGTAGGTCGGGGTGATGAAGTCAGATGTAGTAGGTCGGGGTGATGAAGTCAGATGTAGTAGGTCGGGGTGATGAAGTCGAGTGTAGTAGGTCGGGGTGATGAAGTCAGATGTAGTAGGTCGGGGTTGATGAAGTCAGGTGTAGTAGGTCGGGGGTGATGAAGTCAGGTGTAGTAGGTCGGGGTGATGAAGTCAGGTGTAGTAGGTCGGGGTGATGAAGTCAGATGTAGTAGGTCGGGGTGTAGTAGGTCGGGGTTGATGAAGTCACAGCCACCATTTATAAGAATGTGACAAACGTAGGGAGGCTAAGTAATGGACGCTCGGAGCTGTAATGGAGTCAATTTGTCAGAAATCCTGGGCTTATTATCAACTTCCGTTTTGGCAAGTAGTGCTTATCTAGCGCAGTCACGCTCTCAATAACACACAGGACCGTGCCTGTAGTTGGCTTGGAATATTCCGTATATTCGCATATTTAAACAATAAATTGATAATTGTAATTTGTTAATATTAACTTCAATAGGAAATAACATTTGCGAAAGAGCTTGCTCGATGTACTTAT